AAGGATAGACATATGCAGGCAAATGTTTTTGTCAGTGGCTTCATTTTGGTGTTGCTTTTCCTGACCTTATTTCTTCAGGTGTAGTCCATACAAAGCAAAAAATGGGTTCTGTTTTACGGCAAATCCAGTCTTTATGTACAAAGAAGAAAGATTCTTAAGTCACAAGTGACAGCCTAACACAGCTAAGCTCTTTGAAGAGGAAACAGAGAGCTAAAACTTTCCCTTTTGCTTCTTTTCCCCACATTAGGCTGAAGGTACACTAAGACTGAAAACAGGCAATGCTACAAGTCCCTGAGGATGGTTTATCATTGCATGTTCAAAACATCTCTTAGATGTTGGTCCCCTCATCCAGACTGTAGGATGGCTTGATTAGTATTTCACTACTTCACTAAACTTGCAATGAAGAAAATAATAGTGGTCTGTTGCAGTGTGTTGTAATATCCTGTTTTAAACTTCTGAGTCCCTTCCCCAGGTGTGCCAATACCTCTCTCCCTTCCCCCTCGCCCCCTGGCTGAGTGAGTTCTGTCAATCAGTTTTAACATTCCAGCAAGGCGTCGTGTGGTTCGTCACTTTGAAAGGATGCCCCTCAGGCCTGGGGGTCATTGGCCTGTCTAGGTGTCTCTCGTCCCTTGAGACCCTCCCCCTCCCACCTGGTTGGTGGCTCACCTGTCCCTTCCCCTCCCCCTGTCCTGGAGCTTAAAAGCCGAATCAAGCCATGCAGCCGGGATTCTGTTGGAGCTGTTACCTGTGATTCAGACCTCTGTGACCATGGAATAAAGCTCTGGATATTAACCCTCCGGCAGAATCCATCTCCTTCCTCCTCACCATAGCCTGAAGCCTTCCCTCCTGAGGTAAACGGAGTTCCTAACAAGCCTGGACTTGTTCAGCTGCCCAGCTGCAACCTCCAGCAAGCTAAAAGTATCTCTGGGATGATACACCACAATTGCTGCCTTTGGCCTAGCAGCAAGGGTCAGACTGGCTCAGGCACAATCTATCTGGTAATATTGGGAGTGGTCATTTCTTGGTATCTGATCCAGTCTTGTGACAGGGAAGGTAGATGACAGCTGTGTCTGTGAACTAGTGTCCCTTTGAGCCCTGTTTTCCCTGAATTTAGAATTAACAGTGTCACATAGAGGCCCTGAGAAGTACAAATGTACGAATTTAGGTGTGTCAGGAACTAGGATGGTCTAGCATACACACTTGCATATGTTGAACTGGAGAAAAGACCTACTTTCATTCACATTTTCTTATTCCAGACCTAAAATTGGCTGACTTTTTCTCTGCCAGTATCATCTTCATCCAATTGTTTTATTATACTCCAGACAGAATCTGGCTTTATCACACATATACCTTCTAGAAATCTAATTCCTCACCCTTCCTTTCATGCTATTTTTCTCTTTTCTACCTGTTGATCAACTGAGTAATGAAGTTCCATCATAGGTTCTGGCGATTTTGAGACCTGAGTTCTCACGTCTTGAGGCAGACATTGGCATAGCTAGTTCCATACCTCCCTGCTGCACAGCTTGGTGGCTTCTTGGTACCTGCTGCACTATCAGTCAGCCGGAGCTTCTTCTGGCCACAGCGATTTCATGACTGTGGTCAGCTGCAAGAGTCCAAAAGCATGGATGTCTTGTCTAAGAGCTCATTCTAAAGAAAAAGGTGCAGTCATGTGATAACACAAAACCAAATAATAGCTACCTATACCTCAGTTGCAATCTTTATGCCTGGCAGATTTAAACCTTAGCTCTCATCTCCCCGATCCATACATTTTATCTGGACTGTGGGGCTGGAGAACTCACCTACCCTTCCATAACAAGGATTGAATAGCCTAGGCTCTGTGTGTACTCAAATTATAGCCTCAGTTCTCCATTAGTGTGCATTTCTATCACCTTCACTACTTACATATTGAATGTCTGCTAAATAGGTTGTTCTAGGAAAGAAGAAGGAAGGGTCATATTTACTTAGTGTAATAAGAAAATAGAAGAGGAGCAGAAAATTGAGAGCTGCCAGCAAATCTACCCAGCATTTTGCAGCTGAGGGGGTTTGCATTTAAGAGCCGAGTTATTAGACCACATCAGATCTTCTAATTAGCCAACAGCAGTCAGGGAGAGACATTCTTGGGTAAAGCCAAACAGCAGCTACAGTGTCTATGCTGTTTCATATCAGGGAGTAACCCATCAGTGTGAGGGTTTGGGAGGACAATTTCAAAGAAGGAGATCCTACACTGCAAGCTGTTCAGACTATGGAGGAGATGGGGTAAGAGACAGAGAAGCTGTTCAGACTATGGAGGAGATGGGGTAAGAGACAGAGATCATTAGAGAAAAAACATGAGGAAGGAAAGCTGGGGGGCAATGGGAATCAGTTTGATTTAAAAGTGCAGAGACAATAAAGTAGCCAGGCAAAATTTTAGTCTCAGAAGCATCTTATTGGTATGGAGAAAGGCTTTTGATCTCTGATGTATAATTGCTGGTTAAGGACACATTGAACCTATTACAGAGAAATTGGGCAGCAAGATTTCAGCAGCCATATAATGAGGAACATGAGATCAGGATGAGATTTGGGAAAGCTGAAGATGAAGGTGGAAGATAGTTTTGGAGCTAGAAGAAAAGAGCATTAGAAAAGAGAGTCAAATTTGAAATTGGGACCCTACTTTGACCTTATAGGCAGAATAGGTGTAATCTCTCAGAGCTGAACCTGGGAATAATGTTCTGCTTGTCAGGACAGTGCATTTGAGATAAGGTGAAAAAAAAGAACAGGTTTCACTATGGACAGATAGTGAACACAGACGAATTTCCTGTTTTCAACCTACTTTTAGGACATCCTTTGGCATATGTTTCCAGCACAAGGCCAACTCTCCAGGCTGGCACACAGATGAAAGCAAAGCCTGACCTGCTCCCACAGGATCTGCTGTCACCTGTGCATTTTACGAGGGCTTCTGGAGCCTTTCCCTACTCATGCTGCACAGTGCAACTCTTCCCCAGGGAGCTGTGAACAAATTTGCCTGTGTGGGCACACACAGGAACACTGCAAAAGGATCTTCAGTGCAAAGATGCTTGGGTGGGCTAGTGACAACTTTTGCCACAGAGAGGACGTGTTACAACCTCAAGTGAAAACAACTTCCATATTTAGGTCTGTATCTCAGGTTAGGTAAATGCCACCTCATATAAAATAAAAGAAAACCCAAACAACACAAATGTGTAAGACATTTTCCTTTTTTTCGGTGAATGAAGGACAATTTTTTCACCTGAGGACAAGCCTGGTTCATCTCTCCAGAGAAGCGAAGCCCTCATCAGAACATAAACCTCAGTAGGGGAGCCAGGGAGCCACAAGGGTTGGCAATCATTGCCAAGTGTTTGTTGCAGAGGCTACGGTAGCAATGTGTAACATTCCTGGGGAGATTTTATTCTGAAAATCTTCTTGGAGGCAAACACAGAGAAGAACAAAGCCCTGAGGTCAGCTCCATATCCCACTTCAGGGCCAGCAGACGTCTCTCCTACACCTCTATTTTAAAAACATAGAATTCCTGGTGTTTGAGAAGACCTTCACGATCATAAAGTTTAACTATTAACCCAGCATCACCATAGTCCACACTAAACCATGTCCCCAAACATCCAAACATTTTTTGAACACTTCCAGGAGTGGCTGCTCAACCACTTCCCTCAGCAGTTCCACTGTTCACAGTTCACTCTTCCAATGTTTGTCCATACTTTCAAATTTTTTCTTAGATCCAATCTAGGCCTCCCTTAGTGTGACTTGAGGCCATTTCTTCTTCTATCACTGGTTGCCTGGGAGAACAGGCCAAATTCCACCTGGCTACAGCCTTCTTTCAGGGAGTTGTGGAGAGTGATAAGGTCACCCCTGAGCCACCTTTTCTGCAGGCTAAACAACCAGCCACTCCTTACAGGACTTGAGGGTCAAGGAGATCCTTCACCAGCTCTGTTGCCCTTCTCTGGACAGGCTCCAGCACCTCACTGTCCTTCCTGTGCTGAGGGGCCCAGAAGTGGACACAGGACTCGAGGTGCGGCATCACCAGCACGGAGGGACAACCACTGCCCGGGTCCCGCTGGCAGCAACGCTATTGCTGATCCAGGCCAGGATGCCGCCGGCCTTCCTGGCCACCGGGGCATTTTCAGGGCATGTCCCAGCCACTGCTCCCTCCTGCAGCGGCGGGACCGAGGAAGCGAAAGGGCTCCCGGGGCCGGGCCATGGCTGCCTCTGCCTTCGCCTTCCCCGGCGAGGCCGCGGCGGCCGGGGCGCAGCCGGCACTGCTCGGGGCCGGTTTCCATGGAGACGGCGGGGGAGCCCTGGCGGAGGGGACATGGCTGCGGGGACGTGCGGGGGAGCCCTGGCGGAGGGGACATGGCTGCGGGGACGAGCGGGGGGAGCCCTGGTGGAGAGGACATGGCTGCGGGGGAGCCCTGGCGGAGGGGACATGGCTGCGGGGACGTGCGGGGGAGCCCTGGCGGAGGGGACATGGCTGCGGGGACGAGCGGGGGGAGCCCTGGTGGAGAGGACATGGCTGCGGGGGAGCCCTGGCGGAGGGGACATGGCTGCGGGGACATGCCGGGGGGAGCCCTGGCTGAGGGGACATGGCTGCGGGGACGGGCGGGGGGAGCCCTGGCGGAGGGGACGTGGCTGCGGGGACATGCCGGGGGGAGCCCTGGCTGAGGGGACATGTCTGCGGGGACGGGCGGAGGGAGCCCTGGCGAAGAGGGGCTGCGGCCTTAACCCTTCGCCAGAGGCTTCCCCGCGGGCCCCGCGGGCGGTGCAGGGAGCCCGGGGCGCTGGGGCGGCTCCGGCTCCGGCCGGCACTGCTCGGCGGACGCAGCCCGTAATGCAGGGCAGTGACAGGGCCGGCAAGGGAGGAAGGGGAGGATGAGGAGCGCGTGGGGGGGACTGCTGTGCCCGGCTGTCCCTTCCGTGGACGCCTGGCCGGGCGACTGCTCGACACAGCCATCCTCCGCGGATATCCCCCGCAGCAGGCTTAGGGAAGGCACCAGCCATTCTCCCCGTTCAATATTTAGCAGTTTAACCCAGCCGCATCCTCTGGTGGGGGCGCCGATGGTGGCCGTGGTCAGGCTCCAGTGTTGGAATACAGGGTGCAGGAAGGTGGTGGCGGAGCTTGGAGTGCCGGGCAAAGCCCCAGCAGGGCTGCACAGACAAAGGAAGGTGCCCGTGTGTGAGCACACGGGCCTGGGCTGCACACGGGAGAGAGTTGTGTAGTTCAGGGTGGTGGTTACCTACTGAAAAGTGCTTGTCACCATGGTGACCAAGCAATGCCGCATCTTCCTGGGAACGGATAGCAACAGTCCCAGAGCTTTGCTGTGTGAGACTAGTGGGTTCAATGCAGCTGGCTTCACCTTTTGAAGCCAGGGATCACAATCTGCGTTCAATCTGTATATATGCCTATGATGCAAATTGGTTGGAACAGCCTGACGCCAACCCAGTGACTATATGTATACAAGAAGGACACCAGGAATGTGTGCTGGTGTCCACTACAGGCTGTGTCTTCCTAAAAGAACTGTACAAAAGTGTTCACAGGAGCCCAAAGTGCACTAGGGCAGGAGGGCAGAGGTGGCAAAGCTATTTTCTGTCTGGTATGTTGAATAGTAAACTCAGTTTTATCTGAAGATTAAGCTGTGTTGGTGTCATCAGGACTGAGACTCACCAAGTTTTAGCTAAGGGCCTTCAGGAAGATAAAATATTGAAATATATGTTTTAGGTAGTTATAAATGCATCCAGTGTATATTTTCATATCAGGAGGGGAGGGGAGGGGAGTGGGGAAGGAAGGGAGGAAGGAAGGGAGGAAGGAAGGAAGGAATGGATTCATCCTTATTGGAGTGTCCTTAGGATCATGGAGAATGAAGCTTGGCTGATGGAGAATTTTTTTCCAGATGAGAGGGACTTTTGAATCTGCAACTGCTTGCACTTCAGAAGAAAATGCCCATTAGGAGGTGAAAAACACCACTCCTGTCTGAGCTCCTCACAGTGTGTCCAGCTGGGTGAGGCAGTGCTGTGCCGTGGGCACTTGAGCACGCCCCAAATGAGCTGAGGTGTGTGTGCGTATCCAGGCAGAGGCATGATCCTCAGAAGAAAATTACCCATATTAGCATAGGGTGACATTGAGGTTAATCTCCCCCATTTCTGAGCAGAATTTGATGGGTCTCCAAGCACATGTGGTTATATTGTTTCCAGCTCTGTAGTTATTTGGGACATAACTGCCCATGACCAGCTCCAGGGAAAGTAGGCAGTAGCTGCATGAGGTGCTGAAGCACCACCAACCCTCCTGTCAGCTCTGCCAAAGGTGGCTTGGCAACACCCCTTATGAAAGGGCTGAGTTGGGTACAACAACATTTATGGCTGAGGCTAATGGTCTCTCAGAAACATCCTTTTTGCTTTTATTTCCTTACTTCTAGAGTCTTGAGAGATACAATTCCAGTTCCAGTTTCTTTCTGCCTTCTTTCCCAATCCCTTTTCTTTCTTTTTCCTCATCCATCACAGGAACAGTGCAGTGGAAATCTCCGCATCAAAACTGAAGTTTGCCTTCACTCCTCAGAATCCACCAGCCACCTCTGACACTGCCTTGGGGGATCTCTCCTTGGTGTAACCACATCCTTTGAGATCACTCAGCTCAGGTATGTTTGCTGTAGCTAAACCTGGCAGAAAGCCCTGTTCCCTGTCACCCTTCCTCCCTTCCCCTACCCCTTCCCAGGACACTGAAGGAAGGGCAGCCACAGCAAAATTACCTGGCTGCTTTTCAGAGGAATGTAACCCATAGCAGTGAGGCAGTGGCCTCAACCACTCAGTATAATTAAACTCGAGCATCATTTTTGTGTAGCCTGTGCCGTGGCAACCGCAGCAGTTATTGCCATTCAGCTGGAAGGTTTAGAAGGCAGAGCTGTGGTATTTCACAAAAAATCCTCCTTGTAGGCAAGGCCTTAAATCATTTCATTGAATGAAGTACGCTCAAGAAGTGAAGAGTATCAGAAGGAGGAAAAATGCACAGGGTAGGACCACACTATTTCTGGCTGTAGTTCAATAACAGTTCTTGAGGCATCACCTGATATACTGTTGGAGTGGAAAAGGTTTTTTATACCTAATGCTTTGGCACCCTGATAGCATCTCTGGTTTTTTCTCTCATTCTCTCTTGGGTTCCCTGGAGAGGCAATATATTGTCTTCTCTCTAGTTAAAGAGAGTGGGGGCTAATTGCATAGACAAGTCACTCTGTTTCCGCTGAAGGTGAAAAGCAAAGGGCTTGCTAATTCATGCACACAGACAGAAGGATGTAGCAGTGTACTGTCAGCCATTCCAGGGACCAGCAGTAAGGCAAGGTGAAGCAGCTTGGCACAGTGCACACAGTACTTGCCAGAGCAAACCTCTGGGGCAAGGTAACAGAAAGAGAAATGCTGATAAAGAAAAGCCAGTCAGAAGAGAAGGGCAAAGCATAATAAAAGACAGGGGATCAGATTGCTTGGTTGTGATACACGAACCTAAATTCTTTTAGCACCATTATGGGGAAGGAAATTATGTGGCCACAGTACTTTTGTATCCTAGCTATTCTGGACTCTTAACACACTCAATATACAAGCCAGGTAGTGGAATTGCCAAGGATAGAACAGCAAGAACAATCTGGGTTCTGTTAAAGGGACTGTGAGATCCCTTGCTGCTCAGAATGGGCTCTATGTATTTTATGCTGGAGGTCCTGAGACAGACAGCCAGAACCTAGGTCATGATTTGCTGAAAGGAGCAGCAGAACTGGAAAGACTAGAGATGGAGCTCCTGCAGTGCAGGCTTGGACTTCTTCAGGGCTAATTGTTTGAGTACTGCTGTCAGTGAATGCAAAGGAAATTTGACAATCACCCTCAGCTAGTGCAAGAGAATGATATCACGTGAGTCTTATATGTTGCTTTTCAACAAGAGATCTCATATCTGTATCACTACTGATAGTTTTTTTCCTTAGGAAACAGATACCTGGAGAAGGCAAGTGAAGTTGTCCAAAATTGCCTGGTAAACTGGTGGTAAAACAAGTAGGAAACCTGCTGCCTCACACTGCCAAACGGAGTTCACTTGTTATACACAGGGGAATGGAACATAAGGCTGCTGTCTTCCTCTCAGTCCTTCTGAGCTAAAGGAGAAAGCTCTCTCTGAGGCTGTGGATACTGAGGTGTCCTATGCCAGGATGGCAGATGCCTGCGCTGTGTGGGTCCCACGCCTTGTGAGGATCATTGTCCAGACAGCATGTCTCACTTTGCAACTGCTCTGAAGTATTCCTTCCTCACGTGGAATGGCAAATGGTGGGGAGGTAACTAGATTGATCTCCCTTGCAGGCCTTTTCCTGGGACGTGGTACACAGGTTCCAGATGGTACAAAGCCCCTGCTGCTTGGATCTGCACAAAAACCTGTGTCTTCTTCAACCTATTTCACAACAGATTTGGCGTGCTCTTGGTCGGTTGCTATTTGTACAAATTAAGCTGAGCTGCCAGGGACGTTTGCAAACAGTGAAAAGCAAAGTGGGATGTATGAAGCAAGTCAAAATAGGTCTCAAATCTGGCAAAATGCCTGCAGGTGCTTATAACATTTGACTTACTCTAGCCCATGTATTACCCACCCACACAGTCATTCATCCAGCTTTTTCCTGCCCTCACGCCCACACACACTCACCCTTCGCAAATTCATACACCTTCTCTTCTCCCCCCCATTTTCTCTTCCAAACACAGTCATTCCCCCACACAAATATACCCTAGACACACTCTTTGTTCCCCACATACAAGCACACACACATTTTTGATTGAGTGCTGAGTGCAGTGACTGTAGGTGGTGTGTAGCAGACGATGCTGTAATCTTATACCTATGCTGTGAAAAAGCCTTTGGGATTAGCGAGCCGAGAGCTCTGATTGTTCTCACTTTCACTTAAATACCACTAATCCAGTTTATGGGGCTGACTGTTTCCGTTCTTTCCTGAACTCTGCCATTGTTTTCCAGGGGATCTCTCTTTCTGCTCATCTTCCTCTTGCTCCACTTTGCCTCTTTCTCCCTATGCTTTTCCTTTTCCATGTTGCTGCCCTAGACCACGGTGTTTCAGAGAGCTTGCCCATCCCCATATCTCTCCATGACCTAACACTGGCCCTGATTACCTCACTGAGAGGATGAGCAGGGATGAGCAATGAGCCTGCCATGCAGCGTGGGGCACAGGGCAAGAAATCCTGCAAGGTATGGTGAGGTCAGAGGCAGAGACGGTAAGTGGTGGGGTGGATCTTGCTGCCATCCAAGCAGCGCTGAGTCCGCCTGGCATCGAGCCTGCCTCTAATGGAATGTGACCCACCGCTGGGAATGAGCTCATCTGTAATCCACTTAATTGAGTTTTATGAGCAGGATTCTCACATCGGGGAGCCAGCCTGCCTTCTTCCTAGCACTCACCCTTCTTTCCTTGCTGCCTGGGGAGGAGAAGGGGAGTGGGGGGTGTGTGCACTACTCCACTGAGCTAGTGATAGTCTAGCTTCTGATTTTCTGCCTGCCCTGGAGAATGTGCAGGGAGCTGGACAGGCATGCTCTTCAAGACACCCACTGCCTCATGGTGTAATGTTTGATTCTGCTGCAGGATGTTTAAATGTCCATGTGACTATTGGTAATGCTGTCAGGACTGCAGAGCCTTAAGTTTTCCCAGCATTTTGGTCTCTGTGCAAGTACTGGGTACTCAGAGGAGATGCTTTCAGGTATGCATGAGCCACCTTAACTATGAGTCCAAGTATGATGAGACAGTCACTCTGACCTCACTCCTCCTTTCAATGTGCAGTAATCTAAGTGGTGGAGCTGCCAGGATCCTGTAAGAGCCTTTGTTTACACTGTAATGTCTTACCATCTTTGGCATTTGCATCATAATTTGTTTGTACTAAGTGAATTGGTCACATAAGAATCAGCTAACAGAAATTTGTCTGCTGTCTGCTAGGGGATTTGCAGGCTTGAGTCTGTCTGGTGAAAGATGCAGACTTTTCTCTTGGTAAAGCAGAACAAAGGGAGAAAGAAAAAGTGAGGGAGGGAGGCTTCTCCCCACGGGAGTGTTACTTTCCTTGGAAAAGCCTAGTAGAGACCTCTGGCATACAAAATTTGGGATATATTCCCTTCAGTGCTGGCATAAATGTCTGTATTTGAAATACATACTGTCTGTCACTTCTGGTCTACCTTGTAGAAGAAAACTTTTCATGGTTTCACACCAAGTGTTGCATACACATTGCAAAGCAGTAGCTCAGCAGCTCCACAAATCCGTAACTTTATGGAAAGGTCATGGCATATGGAAAGGGAAAGATACTGACATGTTAACACAAAGCCCGTAACAGACCTGTGCTGGGAACAGCAGGGTCACCACTCTGTATTCAGGTGTTTCTTAAAATCCCCAGACAGTGGATTCATGTAAATACATGATAATAAAAGATCTTATTTTGGTAAATGTGTGCTTTTCATCTTCACAGTTGCAGAAAATACTAAAAAATTGGACCAGAAGAAATATGAGGATTCAAAATGCAGGAAGAAAATAAAAAGAATCTCTATGGATTTTTCCATATGTGGGGGTTTTTGGTTGGTTTGTTTTATTAGGGTTTTCTTTGTTTGTTTTTTGTTTGTTTTGAATGTGCTTTAAACCAATCTGACATGGAGGTGCAATGACTTTCTATTGACATCCCAATGCTGAGCTGCTATAATGACTGTTCAGGATGGTTCATTGTAACTGTACTGCAGATGAAGTGCCTGTTGTCTTCCCTTCTGCTTTCTGAATTCAGGATTCCCTCATTTATAAAATCATAGAATTATAGAATAGTTTATGTTGGAAGGGACCTTTAAAGGTCATCTTGTGCAATGAGTAGGGACATCTTCAACCTGACCAGTCTATTCAGAACCCAGTTCACCCTCAACTTGAATATGAGTTCACCTTGAACTCACCCTGAACCTTGGATATTTCCAGGGATAAGGTATTTACCACCTTTCTGGGCAACCTGTTCCACTATTTCACCACCCTCGCAGTTAAAAATTTCTTCCTTGTATCTAGTCTACCATCTTGTATTTTAAACCCACTATCCCTTGTCCTGTCACAACAAGCTCTGCTAAAAAGTCTGTCCCCATTTTCTTTTAAGTCCTCCTCTGGTATTGAGAGGACTTAGTCTCTGAAAGACTGGTATTCAGTTGGACAAACTTAGACAGAGACTGCCCTGGAGTCAACAAAGATACAGGTTTTTTTTTTCTTTCATACTGTTTACTTTAAAATCTGCAAACAGTCATCCCAGCATTACGTGAAATCCCCAAATGGCTATGCAGTCTGGATAGAGGTAACACTGTTCCGATGAATCCAATGCTGGAAATATATTGTCCCACTTAAATACATTCTTCTGCCATGTCTTTTCCCTGTGAAACTCTTGACTGATGTTCGATGCTATTTTATCCCTTGAGTAATACTTAGCTTTAAAAATGGCAGGAGACCCTTGGTATTGCCTCCGACTCTCTCTGTTTGTAGGATCTGCACAAAACATATGGTACATGGAGAAAGGAAGAGCTGTTAAAAGGATGAAAGCTGTTCCAGTAAATGTGGTTGTTAGGAGCCAGTGCAATATCTGTCATCGATGAAAGCAAAATATTTTTGGGTATTTGTACTTTATGGCACAAATATTTTTTAGAGAATTCTGGTAAAAATAATTTTTTGAGAAGTACACTGTCCAGGAAATTTCTGCTGTCATGTCTTGTAGCACTGGAAATGTCAAAGTTTCTTCTAAGATCTGCACAGTGTTTCACTCCACTGCCACGTCAATTCCAAAGAGAGACTTGTGTATCATTTCCTACCTGTCCATAATAGCTGGCCTAAGAAATGCTTAGAAATGCTAGCTCTCCACAGCATTTGTCTCATGTTTAGATGTTCAGTCAATAGCAGGAGATATCTTGTTTATCTGAGAGAGAGGCAATCTTGAAGTAGCTGAGACTGAAATAATAATAATGCTGTTCTTTCCTCTTTCTTCCCCCACTAAATATCTCCCTTCCAGGCCATTTTCCAGATTTGCTGGTGTGTCTGAGCTCAAAGCAGGAGGCAGAGTGCTGGCAGGGGCTGTGCTGTGGCGGTCCATAACACATCTGCTGTGGAAGGTCGTGCATCTCACCACTCTCAGTAATAAATACACAGCTTGGCTTTTCAGCCTCGCCCTCCCTCAGTGAGCTCTGCACGTACATCTACAAAACACCCCCTGGCATGCATGCCTATAAACAAGGAAACAAATCATGCCACCTAAAAAACGAATTGAACAATTCCTCCTACAGCCTGGGAAGGATAAGAAGAAAAGACTATGCTGGTTTTTTTTCTATTTCTGAAATATTGAAGAGCTACTTAGCTACTATTGTGACAGAAAGGTAGATAACTAGGTTGATTACACAGTAAGAAAGAAAGAAAGAGGAAACTGTGGAAGACAGAGATAGAGAAAAAGAGGCTTTGTGTTGTGTTTCAGTCTGCTTGATAAGTGGCTTTCTCCTGAATCCTCAAAGGAGTAGCCTCCATGGGTCAATCTCATTAGAGGTAGAAATGGAAGAGCTGCAGGAGTCCACACTGAGCTTTACCTAGAAAATTTGACAGCAGGGCCACTGCTGTCAAGCTTAGGCTTGGAGGAACAGCAGCAAGGTGCAGAGGTGACTGAGGTGGAGATGCCTGTGACAGAGCAACCACCACTGTCCAAATGACCTGTGGAAATCTATTTGTTCAGGAAGGCACCAAAACCCAGATCTGTTTCTAACAACAAATCACAAATCAGTGGCAAGACACCATGACAAGTAGATGCTGAGCAGACAGTTTTCCAAATGAGCTGACTGCGCTACTGGCGACATTTTCCTACAGGTTGTCAGAGAGTGCATCAAAGGTGATTCTAAGAAGTGAATCTGTTTCACAACCAGCAAGTAATTTTTTTAAGGTCAGCAGCCCTCATGAGGTAGTGTGAGGCCTACAAAATTTTCTCAAGGTTAGACATCTAAATAGCATTCAAAATCATCAGGATCCTTAATGTCACAATATTTGATATCAAAAAGAAATTGTCAGGAAGGAGGAAAAAGTCTGGAGTTCCTGAGGGCAGCTGTACTACTAACCCAGTTTGTTTTCCAGGGAATATGTTCCATGCAGAAGATTGCCAGGTGGCTATCACAGATATCAAGAAAGGAGTCAGGAAACTCATGAGCTATATTCAGTCTGTAGTTGCTACATGCAACTGCCCTGGGTTTCTCACTGTAGAAGGGGGCTGAGTGATGCTGTTCTTCCTCAGGGGTAGAGTGACATTGGGTCCTGCTTGTGACATGCTCTTCCATCCTCTAGTGCAACACAGAGTGCCAGTGCTGTGAATGGGGTTACAGATGGAGTTGTGGACACTTGGCATCTGTTCCAGGGGCAAGAGGGGAAAAGACACATGGGGGTATGTGGTGTGTGGGAGAAGTTTGTAGTGGATCTGATCCTTCCCTATCAATTTTGTGGAGAGAAAGAATGGGACATTGGCTCTCACTGCATGGATTTTGCAAGGTCTCTGGTGATATGAGCTTCCTACAGTAGATTAGGGTGAATTTCTGTATTGTTGAAAGAGGTCATGTGCTTTGGTTTAGGTATTTTTGTGGTAGCTGAAGGCTGTTTGGCAGAAAACCACTGCTTCACACCTCCAATGGGGTTATAACTTAAAAAAGGGACAAAACACTGCAGGGCCTGGGAGTTTCCCATGACTTCTTCAGTGCTGCTTACAATACACCTGTTCTATCTATAGTTGTCATAGCCAGGGGTACCACACTTCATCCTCAAACCCTCTGAGACACTCCTAAAATGGGATCCTGTGTCTATCCTGTTCTTTGCCTACATCCCTCCACTCCAGTTGCGTGTGACCCCAGTTGGTCTTGGCTCAGCAGTCTTTTTGTTTGGAGCTGTGTGACCTTGTGCTGACAGAGGCAGTCAGACAACGTTCTCAAACCAACATATGGTTAATCAAACAAGTATTGCAGGCCATTAAAGGAAAACCTTTCTTTTAGTTTCCTCTGGTAGTAGGACAGCTGCCTTTGCTTTTCCAGTCCTTCAGTGGATCAAGTTCTTTTGTGAGTTTGGGCTCCACAGAAGTATTTTCTTTCTCCTGTCTCCAAGGAAATTTTCTTAAAGCCATATTGGTGTTCTGGTCCAAATTCTTAGGCAAAATTCCCTTCATGATGAAGGAATAACATTTTTCCAGGAATTATAGCAAGTTACTCTCTGTTAGGGACTCTAGTTGTGTTTAGTTAAGGTGCTTATTTAGAGCTAAGACAATACTCTGAGGCTGGTTTTCTGGTATTCTTTTTAATAACCCTTTCCTCTGCAGTTTTTCTTTAAAGCCTCCTCAATGGAGGTAATAAAAACCCTTTCAGTCCAACTAGATCCTGTGAAAAAATTCCTGTTTACCTGCTGTGTAATATCACTGATCAACCCCAGATCCTTCATTACATTTTCATTTTAATATTTCATTCTGTTATGAGGTAATCTGGAGAAATCAAATGAGGGTATGGAATTTAATTTTGCAGAGGTCCCCCAAAATTGCCAGCCAGTTACTCTGGGTCTGAATCAATGGCATGCAAGAGAAGTGCTCTGTGTTACATCCTCTAATTGTCACTGTTGGCAATCTCCATTGTGTAGAGAAGCTCACAGAGGCAGACATTCATTTTAATATTCCCATTAGAACAATCCTGCTAATACAAGTGATTTAAGAACAGACTTTTGTTGTAGAAATAATAGCTTAAGTGGAGGTGGAACCTTCTCTATACATCTTTATCTTTTTCTTTTGAAATCTCAGGGCCTACAGCATATTATATGTCACAGGAAATATCGGTGTAACTGCATATTGTAATTTGCTTGCAGCACGTATTGTGGAACGTATCAATGAAGTGTTTGACAATGATAGCAATACAGGAAAAATCTTTTTTGTGATCTAGCAGATTTTTTTATCAAGCTCTTTAAGTCTCTTACTATTTGTTGGTGGTGTAATATAACAAGAAGCACTGTGTAACTAATGCTGCATCCAAACTGAAAGCATTGCTTATAATGTCTCCTGGCTTGTAAAATAAAATCTTGCCAGAAAAGGCCTCTTTACCTAAGAGACAGGCGTTTACGTGATCAAGGACTTCCTTCCACATCCTCCCATCTCTGCAATCAATTGTGTAGTTGTGAATGATGGAGCCTACAAATGGAAATGTCAGGCAGAAAGTGTTTATGCAATTTTGAAAATAGTGTAGATACTGTGGTTGAATCTCAGAGAGATAAGATTACACTGTATGTGTCTGTTCTTGTGTCTATGTGTATGAAAGAAAGAGCAAGAGGGAGATTACATTGTGTTAGAAAAAAGGAATGACAGTATGTATAAGAGAGAGATAAAATTGTGTTTCAGGGCCTCTGTGTCAGAAAGATTTCATTGTGCAGATGTGCATGT